TCGTTTCTTATAAAACTCATGTTTAGGCAAAGAAATCCCGGACTGCTGTTTCCCGTTCATCGTCAAGTGCCATAAGCGTTTCCTTTCTGTTAGGAGCTCAGTAGCTTAGTAGCAGTGTACAGGAGGGCGCAACTAGAACAAAACCTACCACAAATAGAGAGAAAAAATCCTTTCGCGTGCTCCTCGCCCCTAGGATTTCGCGAGGCTATTTTTTTCTAGCAGTTTTCTTTCACGTCACGCACGACGGGCTAAGCGAAAGAGGGACTACTGGTAGTCTAGCTTTTCCTCGGTTACCGTCAGTTACTGAGCTAAACCATGCCTGATGAGGCGTTCGACTGTCGAGAAACCCAGGTTGGCTTACTTTTGAATTTGCCGCTATTTACCGAGGTTTGCTATTGTGTTTACACGATAAAAAATTTCACTTCAGTAAAGTTAAAACAAAACCAAGGTTAACTTCTCTCGTGAAAACACTGGCATTAAAAGTCACTTGCGTTACAAAGATATTACTGAGAAAAACTACTACATCTACGATAGTGGTATTCTTTACTTTTGTACGGCTGATTTACTTTAAATATAATCAGAAACTTGTACCTATTTCTTAAATGTAAAAGTAGCTTTTTTAATTCACAGTATATTGCAATATATTGACGAACTGTTTAAGCAGAAAAGCGCTGGTTATTCATTAAGAAATAGTGATTTTGATATTCCTGCTTTTAACCCTATTAACTATGGAAAACATTCTATTAGATATCAAGGACCTCATATATGATCGAAACTAGATAATAAATTGAAAGGCTCCTCGAATATTGATTCTTTTAAAAAGAACATTAGGAAAAAAGACCTAACGTCACTCTTGAACAACAACAATACTAACAATAGCTGCTGTAACCTTTGCAATTCTTAGAGCGGACTACCTCTTATATACCCATTGTTTTATTGTACAATTTATACATGCTACATATTTTAATTGTGTATACATTTTTATTATTATACCTTATTTGTAAATAATTTTAATTTTTTTGTTGTGTCCTCAATCAGTTGTGAAAACTAAATACATTGATAAGTTAATAAAGATGGTGAATTTTAAGCTCGGTAATGAAATGTGAAGGTGAATTAATCAACATGACA